TCTATGCAAAATTATGTCATTACTTTTCTGACGACCCAGTACGCATCTTGGTTATTATGCCCAAGTCTAAATGTAAAATTTGTTTGTTTCATAGTTTGTACTCATATGAAAGTGATTTTATATGTTTTTAGCATTTTAACTGAAAAATATTTTTTAAAATAATTAGTTATTTATTTAATTCCATTTGCTATCATTATTATTTTTTTTATTTTGACCAGACAGAGGCAGAGAGAGAGAGAAAGAGAAAGTAAGCCACCAGGTCCAGGACTCGAACCATGGTTGGCCATGAGGGAATCTAGCGCTCTTACCCACCACACCACCTGCTGGCCTCTGAAAAATCATTTTTTAAAGAGGTTTTTACCTTAGGGCGCATGTGCTCACATGCCCAGTGTGAGTTTTAAGCCACCGGGTCTGGGACTCAAACCATGGTCGGCCATGTGCAAGTCCAGCAATGTAACCACTAGACCATCTGCTAGCCCCTAAAAACTCATTTTAACACAAGGTCAGGTAGAATTTTTCACTCATATTGGTGCTCAAAAAGCATCAGATTTTGAGGCATTTAGGTTTTCAGATTTTGGATTAGGATGTTCAACCGCAAACATGGAATGTCAGTTTCTGTAGGATTTTACAGAGCGCGATCGATGGATTAAGAACAGAGGTAATACATTCAGTAGAACAGCAGCTAAGATGATTGCCCGTCAGCGTAGAAACATTCCCAGGCCAAGGCTCCAGTTGAACTGTGCAGTTGTGTAAATACATACACACACTCACATGCTTGTTTTCCAGCCCTGGAGGAAAAGGATCATTATTCATTATTTCTGTGGGACATCTCTTCCATGGAGTTCACAGCACGCTTGAACCACTATCTCAGAAACAGTGAAAACTACTGAAATGTAAGGGGGCGCAATGGTTTCCGAGAAGAGAAAGCTTGCCCAAGTCTTGTAATTGTGTTCCGAGCAATGTTTTGTTTTGTTTTGTTTTGTTTGGAGAGGTCTTTGCTAAAGGGTGCATGCGCTCACCAGAAAGAGAGACAGAAAGTGAGAAATCACCCTCTGGGGGGATGGCCATGCCACAATCCCTTCTCCTCCATTCTCCTCTTGGGATTTTGGCACACACGCACACACGCCCGGTGTGAGTTTAAGCCACTGGGTCCAAGACTCGAACTGTGGTTGACTACCTGGGAGTCCAGTGACATAGCCATTATGCCAACTGCTGGTCCCCAGAGCAATGCTCTTTAAACACACTCCACTCAGATGGCCACACTTGCTTTTCTCCCCAGGCAATTTTGTTGTTTAGCTGCATAACCTTGGTTGTATTTTTAAAATAATGTGTGTATATCATGGTGCCTTAAGGATTGTTCTATATTAAGATTTCAATTTCTTTTGATGTAAAACACACACACACACATGCACACACACGTGCATGCACATTTCTTCCGACCTAAAAGAAAAGACTACACCGAGTGGCATTTATACAGACAATTCCAGATTATCCAGATCTAGCTGGTGAGACCTCAATAATGTGGGCACAGAAATGACCTTCTCACAGATGGTTGAGATGCGGATATTAGAGGCACACCCTGGGCTTGAATCTCAGCTCTTCCACTTAAACAGTGTGTGAGCTAGGGAAGGTCACTTGTCAAGGTCTGGTACCCCCTTTGTGAAATGGAAATACAGTCACATGTCCCTGAGCAATGGGGATACCCACTGCGTGATGCGTCGCGAGGTGATTCTGTCACTGTGCAAACATCACAGAGTACACTGAGGCCGACAGGACAGCCCATTACCACCTCGGCCACGTGGCCTTGATTTTTGCAACTCCTCAGCCTTGAAAAATCTTTGAAATTATGGACAGGCCTCTTGAATGTCTTCCTTCAGGTGCCACTCGTGCATGAAAGAACACGAATTATATCAAGCACAAAAGATAATGATGCAATCAAAAGAGAAGGCAGGGCCAGCAGGTGGCATGGAGGTTAAGGCATTGGATTCCACATGGCTGATTGCACAGTTTGAATCTGGACCTAGACACTTGAAAATCACACCAGGGTCATCTGCATGCATGCCCCAAATCCTGAGAGGAGAATGGAGCAGAAGGGATTGTGGTGTGGCCATCCCTCCAATCACCCTAGAGGTTTATTTCTCTCTCTCTCTCTCTTGCACACACACACACACGCATGTGCACGCGAAGCACACATACCCTATAGGGAACTTAAAAAAAAAAAAAAAAGGAAAGACAAGGCCAATAGAGGATGAGGCTGCTGCTGGGGTAATATCGCAACTGCTTTGTGGTAAACGTTTTTTATCTTAGCAAATAGAATAATGATAAAAAGTAAAGTATAGTAAATACAGAAACCACCAGTATAGTCATTTCTGTCATTATCAAGTTTTATGTACTGTACATAATTGTATGTGCTATTTTGTATTTTCTTTTTTAAATTTTTTTATCATTTCTTATTTACATTTAATTGTATGACTGTGGGATGCAATATGGATTTTCAAAGCATGCATGTGGTATGCAATCATAAATCAAGGATATTTACTATGTTCATCATTTTCAGTGAAGAACATCACATTATGATATGTACCTTTAATTTTTCTCTACTAGTTCTTGGGCACTTATTTTTTTAGATAGATAGATAAAAGATTGGCAATATCATTTTTTTCACTCTGTTGTTGTATGCCTGTCCACAACGCTTTGGCTCCAGCTACATGCATTCCTGTGTCTGTCAAATGCTTTCTGTGCTGCACTTTATACAACCAGCAAATGGGGGGTTTGCTTACCTCAGCACCACCACAGACATATAGGGAATGCCTTACCCAACAGCATTTCAATGATGGCTCTGATGTCACTAGGGAATTGGACATTTTCAGCTCCCTTACAACCTTCGGAACGTCACTGTAAGTGTGGCCTGTTGTTGACTGCATCATCATGGGGCACAGCCTGTGACGACAGTAACTGCTCTGTAGAGTTGATGAGAGGATTCAAAGTACGAGAAGCGCTCAGCACGGTTTCCAGGACAAAGCAAGTGTTCAAAAGGTGTTGAAGAGTTACTGATTTCATCATAGGCCGATAGGTAGAACTGTAAATTATTCTATTGCAGTATCTCTCATCTGACCTCTCTTTAGCCAACTTGATGGCTCTCAACCAGAGTGATTTTGCACCCCTAGGGGACAATAGGCACTTTTGGTCATCATGATGGGGGAGGCTACTGATATCTGGTGGACAGAGGCCAGGGATGTGCCAAACATTCTCCAGTGTTCAGGACTGCAGCCACAGCAGAGAACTATCCGATCAAAATGGCATCCCTTCTGAGGCTGGGAGACCCCAGGAACTAAACACTGGGGGACTGAAATTGGTTGAAACCATGTCACAATTTAGTTACTCACACCTGGGAAAGTATCTTGCACAATTCCCTGAGATTAAGAAAGTCTAAAGTATGTTTCCATTGTGGAACGAGAGGAATTAATAGTTAACCTTGATAACGTGATTGTAAACAGGTCACCCATAGACACTAGTAATTACAGGTGCTCGGGAGAGAACATGCAGCCGCTCTTTCTGCCATGAAGGGACCATTCATGACAATAACTCTTTACCTGACCAAAATTATTTCTTAGGATCTATTGCATCCATTGTCCTTCTGTTTTCTGTTGCCTGTTATACTGAAGTTTTAATGTCTCACTGGTATCAAAGGTACAGAAAAATTGGTGTTGTTCAGATACCAGAGACACATCCATGTCTGAGAAGTCTCTTCCACTTTCCTGGAATTCTTCCTCAAAGATACTAAAGATTGAGAACCTTCCTTATTCAGTGCTGACTGCACTATTGACAGGATTTTAAAATAGCAGCCCATGATACGTTTTCATGGGGATGCTAGCCCAGTGGTCGAAGTGCAGGTGCAGGTGACCTCAGTGCAGCCAGGCCCTGTGTGCTTCTTCCTTACACAGGAAATCGTGGCTGACTTCAGTGCAGAACTCACCTTTTGCTTCTTAACTTTTTAAAATCTTTTGCTTATACGATGGTTTTGTGTTGACTTGGCGTCTTATTAAGAAAGCATATCAGAATGAAAGTACTAAGTCTTCAGAAGCCAGAACTGCTCCCTCACAGTGGAGGTGCGGTCGAATGATGTGACTGGCATACACGCCGAGTGTTCTTAAACCGTGACAATTAGCTTTTCCAAGCCCCCATTCACGATGCCTTTACCTCTAACTTCCTAAAAGCTAACAAATCATTGACTCAAAATGACTGAAAATTGTATGTGGCATTTGGAGCCATTATATTTATCACATGTAAATTTTCAACACCATTATTACCGTAATCATAATGGAGGGGGAGTACTTCTCATCAGCCTTTGTCTCGATAAAGTGATCTTGTAAGCTTTGTGTTCCTGCCTGCCCTGGCCAGTGTGCGGCCCTGTCTCTGTGTGAGTGGCCCCTGCCTTCTAATTGCTAATCATGAGTCTTACATGACCTGAAACATGAGGCAAGTGGTAGTAACCTTTAGACGTTGGTTCTAAACACAGAATTTATCTTAAAACCCTGGGACCAGCAGTTAGCTTGATGGCTATGTCACTGGACTCTCATGTAGTTGACTGCAGTTCAAGTCTCGGACGCCAGGCGCATGTGCATGCGTGCCCAAGATCCCGAGAGGAGAATGGAGGAGAAGGGATTGTGGCATGGCCATCCGCCCTGGGAGGTGATTTCTCACTTTCTATCTCTCTGTCTCTCTCTGTCTGTCTGGCGAGCGCACTCGCCCTATAGCAAATACCTCTCCAAAAAAAAAAAAGAAAGAAAGAAAACCCTGATGCCTTGCTGCCCTCTAGACCAATTTAATTAAAATTCCCTAGAGGTGGAGCCCAGGTCTCAGCGTGTTCTAAACTCTCCAGGTGGTTCTAGTAGGCAGCCATGCTTGAGAGCTAGTGGCTTACTAGAAAACCCATTAGGATGAGCAGAAGCAAAATCCAAATGAAATTAGTGACATTGCAGTCTCACCTTTATTTTCAGGTGTTCCGACATGGAGACCGAAGTCCCATCGAAACCTTTCCTAATGACCCCATTAAGGAATCCTCATGGCCACAAGGATTTGGCCAACTCACCCAGGTTGGTTAGATTTTCAGTTAAAGGTTGATGATAAGTTCAAGGGAAAATGTGTATGAAATGCTCTGATTTTTTTATTCTCTTGGTTTTATTTAAGCATAAAAGATATACATGGAAGAAAATATATATATATATAAGCTTAGAAATGCTGAAGAAAGCAAGAGGTAATTACAAGCCAGCCCCTAAATTTCTCAGGTTCCACATAAGAAAGTGAAAAATAGGGACCAGCAGATGGTTATGTCACTGGACTTTTGCATAGACAACTGCAGTTCGAGTCCCAGACCCGGTGACTTGAAACTCACGCTGGGTGTGTGTGCGTGCATGTCTAGCATCCCAAGAGGACAATGGAAGAGACGGGATTGTGGTGTGGTCATCCCCCCCCAGGGGGGATGACTTCTTACTTCTGTCTCACTGTCTCTCTCTGTGTCTTCAGCAAGTGCATGCACCCTATAGCAAAAAAAAAAAGTGAAAAATAGCCTCACAGTCAATATGCTGAGTCAGCAGAGTTGGGGAACCATAATTTATCTGTAAGTGCTGATATCAGAATTTGATTATTTGGTTGCTTGTGGCTAGATATATTGGGATCAACACTTCCTTATAGTCAGTCGGACACAGGCAGCCCTGCTTCCTAAAGAGCATCACGTCTGAGGAGAATATGAGCTAGGGAACAAGACATTGTCATTGCTCCAGGGCAACCCACACGCGTAAGAGCGAACTGCAGGTGTATTCTTCTGTCTTAACCAAAGGACTGCTTAAAAGCATTAAGAGCATGTCACAGAATGTTTTGTCTCCAAAACTAATGGGTATTAATCTTGCCTAAACATTGGAAGTATCTGGAGTGGTTTTAAAAAAAAAAAAAAAAAAAAATGCACTTCCAGGATATGGGATCTAGGTCCACTGAGAGTCGCTTAACCAACCGTCAGATTCTCTAGGGTAGCATTTCTAAAGCTTCCGTGCAATGAATTACTTGCTGACCTTGTTAAAAGTGCATATTATAATCCACCAGGCCCCATGTGAGACCTGAAACCCTAACCTAACACGCTCCCAGACCATGTCAATGGTACAGACACATGGGTTGTTCTTGACGTAACATCACTCTGGAGCACAAGTTCTTGTCCGAAACCAGGCACTTCCAATCTGCCTAATGATAAAGCAATAGCTTTCTAGATTAGTGGGGCTATCATTTATTTCATTTATTATTTTTTTAAGTTTTCTATGGGGTATGTGTGCTTACCAGAGAGAGATACAGAGAGAGAGAGAGAAAGTAAGAATCAAGCTACCAGGTCTGGGACTTGAACCAAAGTTCACCATGTGGGAGTTCAACACCTTAACCACCATGCCACCTGCTGGCCCCTAGGTTAGTGGTTTATAAAATGTGATCACTGGACCAGCAGCATCACCATTTCCTGAAAACTTGTCAGAAATGTAAATGTTCTGGCCCTACTGTATACCAAATGAACCAGAAACTCTGAAGTTAAAGCCCAGAATCTGTATTTTAATAAGTCCTTTAGATGATTGTAAGTTTGAAAACCACTGTTCTATGTTAAAGATGACTGTTTCATAAAACAGCAGCTGCAAGAACGTAATTTGACCAAGTACCTGCTTCTTCAAGACATGGCATGTACCTCTTTCTCCTCCCCACCCCCGTCCTTGACAAGGTGATGGTGGTGACCAGGAGTGACAGCAGATGAGCAAGTGGGACAGTGACAGCCCCAGCGGCCCCGCGTCCTCGCTGGCTCCTGCCACCATAACGGGGCCCTGGATTATAGGCAGACTGGAATGCAATGTTTCCTTTCTTTTCTTTTCCTTTTGCTATGTGAACCATCACTTCGAGGTAGGAGAACCCAAGCTGGCGACTTTATCCCTGGGATCTTTCTGCCCAGTTTTGACATTTGGTTCAGACACAGTGTGATCCACTACTGTGCTCCGTGATATGGCAGATATGAAGCCCCTCAGCTTACAAAGATGCTTTTCACACTCCTTAGTCATCTCACCCTGCAGGTATTTGCTCTTCAACGTTTCTGAGTTCTTAGGCGTCCTGCCCCAGGCAGCGTGCATCAGCTCTCGGCAGTGATGCGTGGTGTAGAGGGCCGCAGCTCAGTCCTAGCCTGTGCTGGAGACGCCTCTACGACGTCCAGCCCGCTTCCTCCAGGTGTGACCTTGAGCAGTTATAGGAGCTCTCCAAGCCACTGGCGGTCTCTACACAGTGCCAACCTGTGGTTATTTAGAAGTGTCCGGAGGACTGACTGCGCTCCGAGATGCTTGCCTTCTGTCTCCACCTGGGCTAAATTCCCCGTCTCTGTCCTCCCAGATCAGTCTGAGGAACCCTATCACTGCCCTTATCACATTTTTACTTTACTATTTTTATACATTAAATCCCTGAATGTAGTGTTTCTTAAAGCGGGTTCTACCACCTGCATCCAAATCACTCAGGGTCTTGCTAAAATGCAGAGGTCAGGGCTTGCCCAGGCCCTAACTTGCTGCGGTTTCTGGGAGAGATGCTGAAGGATCTGCACCGAGCACCCCGGGTGGTTTTGTTTCTGGCGCTCAGGACGATGGCGCAGATGCGTGAGCCTCAGCAATCACTGTCCCACGGAGGCTCTCGAAGAGCTCCTTAAAAACAGACCCCTGGACTCTACCCCAAAGGTTCTGGCTCAGTAGGTCAAAGGTAAAGCCAAGAATTTGAATTCTAACATGTTCATTCAAGTGACGCCAAGACTGCTGATCCACAGGCCACACTTCAAGTCACAGGCTCTAACTTTTAGGAACCAGTCATTTATAAGTTGTGTAGATACCAAGTGATTGCACCAGAGATCGAGAGGGGCCTGTGGACTCGTCAAGTTGACCACATCTGATGGCTAAACTCCTTCCACAAAATGCCCCCAAGTGGTCAATGTCCCACCGGGATCCGGCTACAGACCGCAGTGAGCCGTTTGCTTAGAGCAGAGCAGTCGCCCTGTACCACCTCGCTGCTTAGACCAGGCAGTCGCCCCGTACCACCTCGCTGCTTAGACCAGAGCAGTCGCCCCGTACCACCTCGCTGCTTAGACCAGAGCAGTCGCCCCGTACCACCTCGCTGCTTAGACCAGAGCAGTCGCCCCGTACCACCTCGCTCCACGACGCACAGGTCTCTGTTACGTTCTAATGAGGATGAACACGTTTTCTCAGGGGGTCAGCAGGCTGGGACCACAGATTACAACTCTCCTCATTTTCAGGTAAGTGTGTGCTGCTGTTGTGGAACAGTCAAAGCACACGCTGGTCCACCTTACACGTATGACAAGAGATGAGACAGATTTCGTGCTTTGCTAATTTCGGCCTCTATTTCTCGCCTACAGCTGGGCATGGAGCAGCACTACGAGCTTGGAACGCACCTTAGGAAGAGATACGGAAGATTCCTGAACGAGTCCTATAAACGTGAACAGGCAGGTCCGGGAGCCGAGGGTGGGAACCTGTACCCTTAGGAGAATTGGAATCATTTTGCATATGTAAATATTATTTTTTTCCTGTCTATTTCCCAAGAAACGTATGCAAGTTAGGCATCACATTTGCATGTGCACCCCTCCTTATGCAGTTATTTTGTTTTGAGGAAATTTATGATTATGGACAAGTTCAAAATGCACACTCACGTGAGTATTTATTTTGGTTTGGCAAGACACTGGTCTGTTCATTGGTCTTGTTGGTTCGACTATTGGCTTCTCAGGCTGCGTCGTACCACATCTGGTCATAACAGCATTCTTCCCTAAGGGTGTCATTAGGGACAGCACCAGAACGCTGGCCCACAGCTAGTGCTCTAACTCCTGTCAGCCCACAGACTGACGTGTCCTCTGTGTTGGCTTCGCTTCGACTCCCTGTCTAGGTTTACGTCCAGAGCACGGATGTGGACCGAACTTTGATGAGCGCGATGACAAACCTCGCGGCCCTGTTTCCCCCGGAGGGCGCCAGCGTCTGGAACCCCAGCCTGCTCTGGCAGCCCGTCCCGGTGCACACCGTCCCTATTTCTGAAGACCTGGTCAGTACACTAGAAACCGGGAGATTTCCACTGGGCCGGAAGGAGGAAGGGGGCTGCTCGGTACTTCTGGATGTCAAGTGTGGACACTCTGGGCTGTGGAATCTTCATTCTTTTGTAAATAAAAGTCCAAAGGACAATGTAGGACATGGGAAGCCCTAGGTAAGAGAGAGTGAGAGCTGAATTTCTCTCTGCACTTTATCATCTGCTTTGTTTGCCACTCTTTCAACCTCTGACATTTCCCCTTAAAATCTTTGTTTTTCCAGAAAGCATGTGTGCTCCCCAGAGAGAGACACAGAGAAAGATAGAAGGAAAGTGAGAACACACACCCAGTCCCACATGGAGAATAGTCACAGTACAGGCCCTTCTCCTCCGTCTCTCCCTCCTCCTTGGGACTTTGGGCACACTCGCACATGTGCTTAGCATGAGCTTTAAGCCGCCAGGTCCAGGACTTGAACTGGAGTCAACTACATGGGAGCCCAGTGACGTAACCATCATGCCATCTTCTGGTCCCCAGGCATCAGTATTTTTAAAGTCGTCTTGGGCCCAGCAGATGGCGTAACGGTTACATCACTGGACCCCCACAGCTGACTGCGGTTTTAGTCCCGGACCTGGTGGTTTGAAACTCACATTGGACATGTGTACCTGCGTGCCCAAGACCTCAGGAGGAGAATGGAAAAGGGACTGAGGCGTGCTCATCCCTCCCAGGGGATGATTTCTCTCTTCCTGTCTCTTTGTCTCTCTCTCACTGGCAAGTGCACATGCCCTATAGCAAAAAAATCTCTCTCTAAAAACAAAAAAAAAGAGATGAACAAAATCAGTCAATGAACGCAAAGTTATTTTCAGTGCTGTATTAAATGACTATTGAAAATATGTAGTGTGGCCATTCCCCATGAGGAGTGATTTCTCTCTTTCTCTCTCTCTCCTTTCTCTCTCTCTCTCTCTCTCTCTGTCTGTCTTTCTCTAGCAAGTGCATAATGTCCTATAGCAAAAACCTAGGAAAACAAAAACAAATATAGAACCACAAATTATCATAATTAAATTCATTTCAGGAAAAGCCTTGTCCTTGTTGGACTGTGAGATTTGTTTTTCTCTTTCTTTAATATGTGCCCTTGCTCTGATAATCTGTGAATGTGTACAGACTAACGCCCCCGAATGGCGAATTGGACTCCTGGGTTCTTTTCATAACCCCTAACTCACTTCTTACTCACGGTACATGTGTCCGCATGTGCTCACAAATGTTTACCTGGTGCTGGAAGCGAGAAGGCTGGGAGCAAGCACGTGACAGGAGATGCTCACCCTCAGCCAGTGCCCCGTAGGCCCGTTCATGGAAAACCCATCTCCAGATGTGCACCCTCTTCTAAGACCTCTCAATCCTTCTCTTTCCCCTGGATTTTAGAATTTCCATTCAGCTCAAAATACATTCGAATCTTTTATTAAGTCACTTTGGATCTAATGAGACTTAAAATCTTGCTGAAGTCTCCTCAGTAAATTCTTTTGACTGACAAAGGTTTATGATTTTTCTTTTGTTCTCAGCTGCTACATCAGCCTTTCATGAACTGCCCTCGCTTTCAAGAACTTAGGAGGGAGACATTGAAATCGGAGGAATTTCAGAAGAGGCTACATCCTTATCAGGTTAAAAACCAACATTTAGTGTTGTCCATGAGTGTGAGGAGGACAACGAGGGCGAGGCTTTGGCTTCGGCAGAGTGTGGGTGCATGTACTGGTGGTGTCCACTACCGCACAGGTTAGGAGACCCCATGAGGAGCGTCGTCACGACCCGAGTCCCTCTGTGGGGGACTACAGCCAGGACAGGAACCACACCTTCTAGAATCCTGTTCCCACATCTCGGAGAGGACCAGGTGGGAGTGAGGACGCAGCTGAAACAATAAGTGCAAGTCTAAAACCCTCGTTCTTATTGAGGCCGAGGGACTGGGCCTGTTGTCATGTTCACAAAGTGTAGTCTTCTTGTTTCCATTTCCATGTTGTAAAATACCTATTCTTAGGACAACACAAAAGGTAGGTTTAATACTTTGTAGTTCTAAAAATAATATTTTGAATCAGTAATTCATACGGTCCCCTAATCAGAAACCGTAGAAAGGAATAGAGCAGAGATCTCCCAGTGGCCCTGGAGGTGAGCGTGGCACGAGTCCGTCGTGTGCTCTCCGTGTCTGTGTACACGCACAACACGGACATGTCCTGGAGTCCCCTCGGCTGCATGATGGCATATTGTTCACAGGGCTGGCACCTTCGGGCGTTTTGGGTTTTGATTTTTTTCATTTCACAAAACGTCTTAGATATATTTCTCTGCCTGTACATGAAGAGTTTCTTCTTCTTTTCTTCTTTACTACTGTGTAGTAGTTCAATTGAAGAATGTACCATAATTTATTTGACCAGCTCCAACTGGTGGACTTGTGAGTCAGTTCCAATCTTTCAGTTTTGCAATCTGTGAATACCTTGTGCGTTGAAATAATTTCACAAGAATATCTGTGTGATAAAATTCAGGAGCAGAAATTCTCGGTCAATTTGAAATATCAAATCACCTTTCAAAGACACTCTGCTGCTTCCTACCGTATCAGCAAGCACTATGCGAGAAATGTGTTTCTGTCTCACCATCCCCACTTTGGGGATATTCGCCAAGCTGATGGGTGGAAAATGGTATCACTAGAAGCATCCTCTCCAAAGTCCGGAGCCGACGGGCAGCCCCAGTGGTCCCTGTTACAACACGGAGCTCACACGCTCGCCGTGAGCCGGTCAGGGTCGTCTAGTTAAATGTCATTGTACTGCCGTCTCTACCACATCCATGGACTGTTTTCTTTCAGATTATTGGTTTTCTTCTTTCTATGAATATTTAAGAGCTTTCTCTCTGTATTTTAATACTTCTGGGATATAAATAGCATTTTTTAAATTGTTTGCTTATGTTTTGCCTATAGTGTTTTTGCCATGTGGGTTATCAGTGTATTGAAAGATTCTTATGTGGCTTTTAGATTTTCAGTCATATTTAGAAAAACCTTCCCCCTCCTAGGTTATAAAGGGATATATATATCTCACCTATTTATATCTACACTAGTGTTAGGTATAATGTACAAAACTTGCTTAGTCTTTTTTCCCAGATGATTATGTAATTGCCTCATCACTATTTATTAAATAGTGGATCTCTTCTTACTAATTTGAGCTAGCATATATTAAAAGTTCCGTGTGTGTGGAATCTATTTCTAGAATTTTTGTTCTATTCATTGTTCTTATAAGCTAAAAGTTGTAGTTTTGGGGGGGTTTTATTAGGATTTTGCTATAGGGCGCATGCACTCACCAGAGAGGCAAGAAACAGAGAGAAAGTGAGAGGAAAGTTGAGAAAGCACCCTGCAGAGGCATGGCCACGCTGCAGTCTCTTCCCCTCCATTCTCCTCTTGGGGTTCTGAGCACACGTGCACAAGCCCCCAGCATGATTTTCAAACTGCCAGTTCCGGGACTCAAGCTGTGGTGGGCCATGCGGGTGTTCAGCTGCCTTAATTACCATGCCACTTGCTGGCCCCAAAACTATAGTTTTAATTATTAGGACTTTATGAGAGTCTTCATAAGGCTCTGTAAGGTGCAGCAGTGAACTGCAGCGCTCTGTGGGCCGACCCACATGAAAGTTCCAGGCCTGAGTGTGCTGGGCATTTGCGGCCACGGCTTGGGCGGATCATGGTGTCAGGTCTGTATCAGAGGAAGTAGCTCCCTGTTCCTCTGTCACTCTCGCTCATGAAATAAATAAACAAACTTTTTAAAAAGACTTTATAACATCTTTACTATCTAATGGCAAGTCATTCTCTATTGCTCCCCTCTTTCAGAGTTTTTCGTTACATATATTACAAAATACATATCAATATATTTTTATTTTCTTTATGAAGTGTAGAATCAGCTTGTCTATTTCCAAATCTGTTTTAATTGTGTGTTTATAAAAGTCATATTACTTTTACAAATTCACTTAGAGAAAATCCACAACTTTTCAATATTGAGTCTTCCTCTCCAAGAACATGGTACATTTTTCATTTTCCTACTTGTTCTTAATAAAGACTATTTTAGAATTTTCTCCATACATGTTTTTATATTTTTTATGTTCAACATTTGCAATATCTGTAAATAATAATGGTCTCCCTCAGGGCCAGCATAGTGGTTACATCACTGGACTCGCACCTGGCTCATTGCAGTTCAAGTTCTGGACCCAGGTGGCTTGAAAATCACACTGGGCACATGTGCGTGCATTCCCAAAACCCCAGGGGGAGAAAGGAGGAGAAGGGGTTGCAGCATGGCCATTCCCCCGGGGGGTAACTTCTTACTTTTTATGCAACATTAAATTATTTGCAAATATTTTACCTAGGCCTTTTGCATTCACAAATAACTTTGAACTTAGTTATTTTTGTGAAGTTTAATTGTTTTTGTTTTTCTGGGCAGTTTTTGTTGGTATCAATATTATGCTTAATTCATAAAAAAAATTTTTGAAAGTTTTTTTTTTCTTTTTCTATCCTTCAAAACAGTTAAAATAGCATTAGAATAAAGAAAAGCTTAATATAATTCCTCTATGAAATCATCTCTCCTAGAGCTTTTGTGTATGGGCAGTTAGGCAGGAAGAGGGAGCTCTTTAAGCAGTTATTTCCATTTATCTTACGGAAATCTGTTGTGGTTAATACTGACAAATTATAGTTTCTAAGTAAATTCATCTATCCAACTGTCTTCAGAAGGCTTTGCAGAAATTGCTGTTGATTCCAGCAGTCAAATAGCTAAACATCGGGTCTCACTGTCATGCCAACCCGAGAATAATGCAGAGCCTAGCGAACGTCATAGTCTCCAGATTTCACTTTTATAGCCAGAGACCAGACCCAGTTTCTGCTGCGTTTTCCCGGGATGCTTTGGCCCAAGATACGCTCTCCTGTCTCATCTCAGATACTCACTTAATGCTAGTTACACTTGGCTCACTTCTACAAACAGTTTGAGGCAGTGCATCTCGATTCGGGTCTAGCATAAGCCAGGAGTATGTGGCGGTAACACAGCACACAAATGCAGCAAGGAAAGACAGTTGGTGAGCTTGGGAAAACTCGTGGGTAGGCATCACCACAGCCCGCGATTCTGGAATAGCTTTCTGTGAAGGCAGCGGTTCCCAACACAGGCAAAGTCACCTCGCAGGAGACCTCAGGCAATGCCCGGGGACATTTTAGGGTGCCACACGGCGAGATAGGGGGTTATTAGAAAATAATAGGAGGTTATTTCAGGATGTTTAGTAATTGCCTGGCATCTGCTAAACATCTTAATATTGTTCATACCAAAGGATCAATAATGTTGAAATTAAGAACACTGGTTTAGAAATATTTTCTTCCATTGTGTTTCAGGATTTCATAGAAACTTTGCCAAAACTTTCAGGATTTCATAGTAAGGATCTTTTTGGAATTTGGAGTAAAATCTACGACCCTTTATATTGTGAGGTAAGAGAAAAGCAATATCAAAGATTAACTTTGATAAGAGTTATGCCTATTTGAAAGGATAAATATATTTTCTTTCACATTTTTACAGATACATTATTTTTCTTTTGACATTGAAATTCAATTCAAGACTTTCTTATATTAACTTGAAAATTGCAAACAAAATTGCTTTTCTTGCCTTGAGTTTTTCCACTTGTTTATTTTGCAGCAG